GGAAGCTACCCTGCCCACTCAACATTGTCCCCTGAGATCTTTGTTAGGCAAGCTCACACATTCTTTTGGAGTCGGGGAGGTCCTGCACCTTCCCTGTCATGACTAGACTTGATAGTCTTTGTGGAGACTGGGAACCCCTTCGCTTCCTGGTGTGACCCCAAACCATTGGAATTCGTTTTCCATGCTGTAAATCCTAGCCCTATTGCATCCCCATGAGGAATGAAGGCATGGGCCTCAGGCATTATAGTTCTGTGCCCTGATTCAGAATCATGTCACTAGAAGACTAAATGGTTTTAAGTTGCCAGCCTTAGACCTCTTTACTGTCTCTCTTTACAGTTAGGTGCACAAATAATGATAATGAGGAGAGATTATTATTAATTACAGCATAGTCGCTGAGCACCAACTTGGTTCCAGGCATGGTATTTAAAGGCTGCTTTGTCCTAGGTGACACAGTTGCTGGTGCTGGGCCAGGGATTGTAGACACCTCTGTCTGAGTGGTGTCTGCCAGCTAGCTACTTTGACATGGAACAAGCTACAAGACTCCCTCAGAAAGAGGACAGAAGGGGACAGGCTACTCAGGCATGGGCAGCGGTGCTAGGTCACAGACAGAGGGAATCTCTCTGTGGGGCACAAATCCCCACTATCTAAACTGAGAATTTTGGACATTTTCTTGACATGGAGTCCCCTGTAATGAGTCTAATAACTCCATCAGTCCACTTCCATCAGTGTGGAGATGACCAGCAGACCAAATGGTCACTGTAGCTTCCCCCAGTCTTGTCAAAATCTAAAGTCCCAGGTGAGGGTTCCACGATGCCCTCTGAGGACAGGACCCAAAGGCTTTATCACACAGGCCTTTGCAGGACAATCCATTCTCAAACTACAGCATCAGGAAAGACAAGGCATTGGCAGTGTGATGTTTATGAGGCTTGGGAGTAAAACGGACCTTGGTGCAGAGAGCACAGGAAAGCATATTCTCCCACAAGGGCTCAAGGAATGCAACTAGGTTATGAACCGTTTTCCTTTCCACTAATGTTCATGAGTGAACATCTCACCTTCTCTACAAACTACATCTATAAGAACAAGCCCCAGACTTCACTGTGATGTTCATGATTTCCAGCCCTTGAGCATGTATCAGGAAACCCCTCAAGTTTTAGCAGCAGGAACAGGGTGTTGTTGTCAAGGAAGCTGACCCTTCCCCCACCACACACACACACACACACACACACACACACACACACTTTCTCTCTCTCCTTAGCCAGCATGTCTTTCCCAAACACTTCTTGCTGGCTGTGTAAGAAATGGGACTTAAGAATCTTCTGAAGCTTAACAAGAACATACATACTTAATGCTCCAATTCTTCTGCTGTGGGCTCTTTATCTGTGTTCCCTCTCTGAGCTGCCCCAGGATATATGCCTGCTTAGGGATCCTAACCCCAAATAAAAAGCAGGTGGGGATTTTATTCCAGCACAGCTGAGTCAAGATGACTCAGCAGAGAAGAATCAGCAGAAGGTAAAATGATGCTTTCTTCCTGACAAATGTCCCCCATTAATTCACCTTAATAAGATGAATCTGGGGCTGGAGATAGACGGTTCACCAGTTACAAGTGCTGGTTGATTTTGCAGAGGACTGGGCTTCAGTTCCTAGCATCCACATGGCTGCTAATAACCACCTGTAATTTCAACTACAGAGGATCCAATGGCCTTTTCTGGCATCTGTTGGCACTGCATGCATGTGGTACACAGATGTGTATGCAGGAGGGCTGATCCAGGCAGTGGTGGCACATGCCTTTAACCCCAGCACTTGGGAGGCAGAAGCAGGCAGATCGCTGTGAGTTCGAGACCAGCCTGGTCTATAAGAGCTAGTTCCAGGACAGCCTCCAAAGCCACAGAAAAACCCTGTCTCAAAAAAAAGAAAGAAAGAAAGAAAGAAAGAAAGAAAGAAAGAAAGAAAAGAAAAGAAAAAAAAAGGAAGGCCGAAGGAGATCCTCCTGCTCCATCATGAGATGACACACTGAGAAGCCACCATCCATGAATCAGAAAGTGGACATTCATCACACCAGAACTGTGAACATAAGTTTCTATTGTTTGTAAGTCACCAACTCGCTGGCATTTTGTTACACAACCTGAACTAATGAAGACAATAAGCTAGTAGAAGAACAAGGGTATGAATCCATGTGCTGTTATTTTTTTAATTCCCTGACCTGGCTTGCTGTTTTGCCTGTTTGTTTCTTCCTTACCATAACAGCATACTGGATGGAAGTTTATCTTTCTATATAAAGTAGAGTGACATAAGCATACCACAAGACATACATGTCACAGGGATGCAGATGGGATTACGATGGTGCCAAAGAAGAGACTAGAAAGGTTACCTATAAAGTTAGAAAATTTAAATACAATAACTTAAAAAAATGTGTTGGATTCATTAAGATTCCTTAACGATCCATTCCAACATATTCTGGTCATAATTTTGTTGGGAAGTTTGTGTGTATGTGTGTGTGTGTGTGTGTGTGTGTGTGTGTGTGTCTGGGATAAACAAGAAAGGTTGAATACTATATTTTAAAGGCTGTAAGAAGGTCCATGGTGAGGAAACCTATTTAATTCAATGTTCCTCCACTTCTCTTGACTATGTCACCCCACTTTGAAAACATCTCCAGGAATCCTAAACATCTTTAAGATTTATTCCTCAGAGTTTGCTGGGAGCCTGATGCTGTCAGTTTTCAAGAAAAATAAGCAAAGGCTAGAAAATATGAGCATGGCATCAAGGTCCTAGTAAATAAGAGTCAATACAGGGAGCAATGTGACAGGACCATTAAGGACAGATGGTTTGGGAAAACCATGGGCTGTGGATAGATCCCTGGGAGTACAGTCACAGGGCTGTGACTAGATCCTGGAGAGGACAGTCATGGGGCTGTAGACAGATCATGGGAGAAAAGACATGGAAGATGTGGATAGATCCACAGGAGGACATTCACAGGCCTATGAATAGATACATGGATAGGATAGCCTCTGGACTATGGTAGATCCATGAGAGGATAGTTACTGGGCTGTGGAGAGATGCATGGACCAGATAGCCTCTGGGCTGTGATGGATCCGCAGGAGAACAGTCATGTGGCTGTGGATAGATGCAGCAGAGGAGAGGGGTGCTTACTTGCAGAATGGTAAATGGACTGATTTGACCCCTGTGTAACATGCCGCAGAGCTAGAAAGATGACCCAACCCAGTGGAGGGGTGGCATAAGGGTCAACTAGGGAAGAGAAAAGGACCCCCAAGAGAGAGATCAGCAGTCACCAACCCAGAGTCATAGCTGGCTTCAAGCAGAGCCAAAAATTACTTCACTAATAACAATGTAATTTTATGTCTTTATAACAGTTTGGTGTTGTGAGGTTTTAATTGCCTTATTGATAAGAGTCACATAGCATAAAATTCACCCACTCAAAGCTTTCTTTCAGTTCAATGGGTACATTATACTCACATACCATGTATAATTACCTCAGAAAGAAGCACGGTGTTGTGTACTTTGCTTTCATTTTTCTGTCTCTTTAACCCATCATCCCTGAGAAACCACACATCTCCTATCTCTGTAGATTTTTCTGTAATGAGCATTTTATGAGTGTAATTATGGAATAAATTGTCCTCTGTGACTGGCTTCTTTCACTCAGCACAGTGTATTCAGAGTTTCCTCCATCTTGCAGACATCCCTTTATAGTGACTGCATACTATTCCATGGTACAGATACACCAAGTTTCATTTACCCGTTCACAGATTATCTGAATGACTTCTACCTTTTATATATTCCAAATAATGCTTCTGTAAGTATGCGTCTCTAAGTTTTAGTGTGGACAGATATGCATTCTCATTTCCCAGGGTAGAGATTCTGGGGCACTAATATTGAAGACCTGGGGGCCACATTCTTATAAGCTGCACCCCAGCAAGAGCACACTGACCTTTAAAAATTGGAACTTTACTGATTTTTATTTTATGTGTCTATCTGAATATATATATATATATATGTGTGTGTGTGTGTGTGTGTGTGTGTGTGTGTGTGTGTGTGTGTGTCTATGCACCATGTTTGTGCAGTGCCTGTGTCAGGTCTCCTGTGATTGAAATTACAGACAGTTGTGAGCCATCTGGTGGGTGCTCAGATTCCAACCTGGGTCCTCTGGAAGAGCAGCCAGTGCTCTTAACCTTTGAGCCTCTCTGGCCCTGATTCTGACCTTTGAGGAGTATTTCCAACTGATTTCCAAAATCACTTCCTGCTGGGAAATAGGCGTCTAAGAAGTGTGCTTTGTTTCACTGAGGGGAGCTAGTAGAGCAAACTTGTCCTGGGCATAGAGGCTCTCAGAATCTGGACCAGCAGGGAAGCCATTATAACCCGAATCATACATTTCCCCAAGAATGGAAATTTTGACTAACACACACCTGTGCTCACAGGCCATGGGCAATTAATTAGCAGGGTGCTCCCGGCACTCCAGCTGCTCCTGCCAATAGAAAGACTTAGTGGGAAGTGACAGAGAGGCAGCAAAGCAGATAAGATAGCTTACTTTCCTGAGGTGTCAATGAAGCTTCAGCATCCATGGTTCCTATGAGTCACTCACAGCAGGAACTGCCATCCCCCAGTGGGAAGGGCTCCCTGGTGGACTATAACTCCCACTCACCACCTCCCTTTCCATCGCCCACGTTTTTTCTTAGTCAGTGGAGCATAGTGCACACTCCTATCAATCCCAGTCATTTTAATCCTTCTGTTTCACCCCCCAACTCACCTCCCCTTAACCTGAGTTAGCTATACTGCTGAATCACCACCTCCTTCGCATGTTGCTGAGTCGTATCCAGAACCCATGGGTAGGCACCGTAGAAAGCCAAATGGAGTGCCAACATAGCTGCATCTCCCTCTTAACTCTGCACACAGAAACTCACTAAACCTGTAGACAGAGTAAAATCAACAAAGATTAGCAGACTTCTGCAAGTGGACAACTTGGCTGAAAAAGTCCAGAGGAGGAGGGGGACAGGGGAAATCAGCTTCCTTTCTTTATTGTGGTGAAGTACACAGAGCATTCAATGTGCTACTTTACACCATACAGTTCTGAAGCGTTAAGCACATTCACAGGCATTGCATCTCCAGGGTAGCTTTCTTTTCCAACTGAAGCTCTAAATATGTTCCATCACCATCTCCCCAGCATGGGATCGTTCCCATTCTACATTCTCTGTGAACTTGACACCTTGGGTACTCCACGCTATCCAGTAGTGTTTGTCTTTTGTGACTGGTTTGTGCACTTAGCATAATGTTTTCAAGGTTCACTCCCATGGAAGCCTGGGTCCACCTCCCTTCTGATTGCTGCTCATCATCTTGACATTCTGGAAGGCAAAGAAGACACCTTCGCCTAGACACAGACATTCTACACCGTGAGAACAGGCTACAGGGAGGCATAGTCTTTGCTTCTGCCTCAGTGGCTGTCGTCTCCAATAAAGGATCATGGAGGAGGAGCTTCGTCCATGAGTGGAAATGCAAAAGGTTGAAATGGAAATGGAAAGCATAGAACCAAAGACCCAGAAGTGGAGATGAAGTGTGTACAGATCCTTCTAGAACTGCCTGCTATAGGTGTCCTCTCCAAAACACATGTAGGAATTTGAGAAAGGTCATTGCTTTCTTGTGTGAATTCTCACTGCCTTGGGACTAGTCTCTCCAGATCAGATGGTTATAAAGCAAGCCTCCCCTTGTGCTTTGTTGACCCCACATGTGCCTGCTTGCTCACTTGCCCTCTCTAGCATGAGTTGACACAGTACAAAATCCCCACCAGAAGCTGAGCATATTCCAACTCTGTGGTATTTTTTTTTTACTTTCCTGTATAAGTTATTCATTGTTGGGCATTTTATTATAGCAATAGAAAACAGACATTTTCTAAAGTTCATCATGCTGTATTTGAAGCCTGTAGGGTGGCCTCACATAGCACTGTTTGTTCTAGAACACTGGTTTGCAGAATGTCCCCTGTCACTCCAGTCAGTTCTGGGCTATTTCATGGGCTGTTGTAGATGTGTTTACTTCTGGGTCGTGATCGACTCCAGCAATCTAAAGCCCAGCTCAGGTTATAGTTCCAACATGAGTTTCAGGGAGTTCATACTGTAGGACAAGATCACCATGTTTCGAATCTCAGAAAAGGATTTGGAACTGGAAGGATTCGAAGGATCCAAAGGAGAGTCACCCTTATCTTTCTCTGATAAGGGTTCAAAAGGTGGGGAGACCAGCCCCAAACAGTACAGATAGAATCTGAGTCTCTGCCCTTCCTCCAATCTTTGTTTTGTAGGTGATGGGCCATTTTGGAGCCAGTGAACTCACCTCCTAGTCCTGTCAGGATGCATCAGTACCTTTGCCTAGTTGTCTAGGAGCTAATATCCATTTTGGAACACTCCGTGAAGCCCCCTCTATCATTGTTCCCTATTGGTCCCACTCTTCTCATGAAGTTCCAGGTTGTTCACTCCTTCCTGCTTCAAGATGCCTTTGTTGGAATTTTGTTTTAAGATTTCTCTATTTATTTATGTGTATGAATGTGTGCCTGAGTGAGCTTATGCATACCTCGTGCATGTAAGTGCCCACTGTGGTCAGAAGAGGGCACTGGACCCTGTGGAGTTACAGGTGGTTGTGAACTGTCTGCTGTGGGTGCTGGGAGCTAAGTCCGCTTCCAGAACAATGAGCCTCTTCACCTTGAGACATCTCCAGCCCTGCATTTCCCTTTGATTATTCCCAATCTACCCCAAACTCCCATAAGGCCCCCAATACAAGCCATCTGTGAAAGAAAATTCAAATTTTAAGAAGAAATAATTCACAGGAATGAATCTTACCCTCCACGACCTGAGAGACCTTTGCATCTGGGAAGCCAGCCTGGGTCCACCTCACCCCCACCTCACACACTTCCTTATGCAGGTTTGTCTTGGGGCCACTCAACTTCTCTCTTGTTTCCAGAATGTGACTAAAATGCCCTGAAAGAGACACTCCAAGATTTGAAATTGTTACCCTATTTCAACTCAGGCAGGTACTCATGGCAAGAATTTTGGACAGATCTGTGAAAAGAAAATTTTTTTGAAAGTTCCAACTTTAATCTCATTAGCTCATTAGTGCAGATTCGGCTGACAAGCTATGAGCAACCCTGGGGGTGAGGGCCTGAGATGCGCAGACACTTACACAGGGCAATTTCCTTTGCACCTGGAGAGGAGAAATCACAATTGTCAGTTCTGTCTTTGAAAGACAGGAGGAGATCAGCGATAAGCCCTGAGCCGGGCCTGGAAAGGAGGAAGGATGCATTCCAGTGCTCCCTGGGAGGGAGTGGAAGCTGCTGGAAGAGGGGAGGAGCACAAAGAAGACCGGTGAGGGTGGGCATCTGGAGTAGCATATAGCTCTCACAGGGGAGAACAGGGGTCAGAGCCTTCAAAGCAAGTCTCTGCCTCCCCAGGGTCAAGTCTGCTGCCCCCATCAAAGACAGCAGCAATTACTTAGTAGTTCTGTCCCTGCCAGACTTAAGTCCACATTGTACTTTCTTCCTGTTTCTGGCTATAGCGGATCCCTTTATCAGTGAGGACACATTCTGAGACTCAGTGGGTCTGTGAACTGTCTCAGAGTTCAGAACCTTACATATTCCATGTCTGTTCCCACACTTACACAACTATAATGTTAGACCCCTGGAAAACTCAGGTATCCGGGGTCCCAGGCCACGACCGAGGTCACCCCCATCACCAGGCAGATTCGAAGCTTGCTGCAAACTGCATGAGGCTTTATTGTAATTTAACGAGCTAACCCCATGTTAGCTCAGGTCTTTTGTCTGCTCACCATGGCGGTTGGCTACAAAAGACAGTTTGAACTGGCTGCCGAGAGATCTTGTAGGGCAGCGTAAGGGAAGTGTCTAGGGGTACGCACAGGCTCACTATTGGTGTGCCTCCAGGCTTGGAGGGCTTGCCCTGTGTTGATTGGTCAACTGGTTGTTATGGCCCATAGGCCCTCCCAGGGTGGTTGCTATGCTCTGTGCATCATTGCTGTGCGCTTGTCCATAAAGTACACCCAGGGTTGTAAAGCATAGCACCACCAGCTGACTTCTGATTGGTTCCTTGTCACGAGGCAGGCACCTAACCTCTAGTGACTAAGACAAGGTCATAGCGAGCACTTGTTACTGTCATGGCTGCCAAAATGGGGAGCTGGTCCCTTCAATAATTGATGTTGTAAATTAGCACAGAGAGAGGTCAGTCCCAAAAGCTAGTGATAAAATAGAACAACTAGAGCCATGCCCTACAGGGAACAATTAAGACTTATTAATTGTGCATTTCCAGAATGTTCTAGTTAACGTTTTTTGGGCAACAGTTGACCGTGGATAGGTGGGACCACAGGCAGTCAGGGACTGCTACATTTCATTGGGGACCTAGCAGTGCCTCTGAGAATCCGGGCCTGTTAACGTCCTTCACATCAAGCTGGACCTTTATTTTACCAAATAAAGATGCTAAAAACATAATCAAGCTGGGCGGTGGTGGCACACGCCTTTAATCCTAGCACTTGGGAGGCAGAGGCACTCGGATCTCTGTGAGTTCCAGACCAGCCTGGTCTACAAGAGTTGGACAAGAGTTGGTTCCAGGACAAGCTCCAAAGCTACAGAGGGAAACCCTGTCTCAAAAAACCAAAAAAGGAAAAGATAAAAAGCATAATCAAATGAGTTAAAAAGAAAAAAACATTAAAAACAATTACACTTTTTTAAAAAAAAAATACATTTTAACACAAAACAAAGAAGGCTCCTTTTACACTGGGTAATTCTCATTTCCACATGGGATGAAGGCAGATGCCACTGGGTAACTAAAGGTTCCTTTTTACCTGCTTCCTTCCCATCATTGCCAGGACATTTTCCTTCCCCATGAGAGGCTTGAGTGAGCCTTCAGAGAAGTCAGCACACACTGCCTCTTCTTGCTCTGCCCCCCAACTCTGCTCCATGTTAGCACCCTTGCACCTCTGCAGAAATGCTCCCCATTCTCGAGACAGAACCCTTGCCTCAGTGCCTCTGAGACAGTACTCATTAGAGTCAGAGATGCCCAGGCCTCGTTAAACGGTTGGCTCCCTCTTCCTGAGTACTCCATGAGAGCAGACATGGTCTAGAACGCAGCTCCCCAGTCCTGAGGATCCTACAGAGAGGCACTCCTCTGGGGGAGCTCAACCACCATGGTAGAGGAAATGACCAAGCATGTGTCCAGGACCTTGCTGCATCCCTGCAGCTCCAAGGAAGGAGAAAATAAGGTCTTTGCTATTAGGTTCAGGCATTATGCTGACCTGCAGCTGTCATCTGGTAGGATGCACTCAGGCAGTACCCTGGCAGCCCAGGGTCCTATGGCTGCTATGTCACTAGTATGCACGCAGGTGCAAAGGTTTCTTTAAGAGGCAAACTCCATCCACCTTCCCCTCCCCACATCTCTCTGTTCTCTGTCTCTCTGCCTCTTTTCTCTCTTTCTTCTTTCTCTCCTCTCTCTCTCTCCCCCTTCCCCCACTCCCTTCTTCCTTCCCATGTAAGTTCTGCCTGATGGTGTGTTTGTCCCTTGCCATAGGATCCTCTGTGGTCCCATCTCACTCCGTATTCCTAACACTTGCCCTTGTGGGGCAGACTTTTAGGGAACTGAGTCAATCAAACAGACTTCAGGAAGACAGTGTAAGCCTCTTGGAAGCTGTATGACTCAGCATGGGCTTAACAGTTGCGGGGAATTATGGGAAGAGGGTTAGTCCAGAGCAAGACTGCCAGTGTGCTTTCATGGAAGAGTTGAGATTCCACCTGCCCTTGAGAGAAGTGTAGATAGAGTTCAAATTGGCACGGGAGATCGAAGGTAATCACACAGGGCTGGAGGTTGGGGGTGGGGGATCCTGCAGTGCAGAAACAAGCCTGATCCTGGAGTACAGCCAAGGTGGTATAAAACCAGGAACCTATGAGGGAGCACCAGCAGGAGGCTGGAGGAGGAACTTGAACTAAGTATCAATCAGCAGAACAGGGAGTCCTAGTGGAAAGACTTGGCATCGTCCAGTACAATGCTCATTTCCCAGGCTAGAAAACCGAGGCACAAGACAGGCAGAGGGGGACAGACAGCAAAGGTTTCCTTTTTAGAACTCTGTTTTAGATGACTTGTGGGAGGTTGGCCTTTACTCTCAGTACCCATGTCACTTAGGCCACAGGCACCCTGGGAGACCAGCACTATGTTTATCCTCGTTTGTACTGTAGGATGCTGGAAATTTGAACAGTTACTCAGCTTCACCAAGCGACATGCCTTTGGAATTGATCTCATAAGGTCCTGGTGCTCTAGAAAGACCATAGAATCGGGAATCCAAAGACATGCATTTCAAGTCTGGCTCCACCCCAGCAGTCATGTGACCCCAGGAAAATTACCTAACCTTGCTGACCCTCTGTTTCCTCATTGGCACAAAAGGATAATAATTCCTACCTCATAGGATTTCTGTGAGGATTAAGTAAGATTACAGCTGTCGAGTTCTTGGCAGGTAGTATGTGCTAGGCAAACACTAATTCCTTCCCTCCCCATCATCTCTTCGCTTCCATTAGCCTGGACACCAACTCTGTGGGCCTGTGGTTGCCACTCCCAGCTTCTCACTCCATCACTATAGGCGTCCCCCACCACTGGATAATGGTACTTCAGGCTGAAGGGCCCTGCCCAGAGGCAACTGCGGTGGATATGGGAGCAGAAGAGAAAGACTGGTTTTTCTGATGGGTTGTCACTGTCCTCACTTGGGACAGGGTGGGAAGCCCTGAAGTGAACCAGTGAGACAGGCACCCGCTACAGGTCCAGAGAGGAAGTCCACACTGGCCCAAGCCCAAGACTTCTGGGTTTCTTGGGTTCTTTGTTCCCTTCCTACCCTATTCACTCCAACTTTCCTTTCTGATAAGCCCTGTTGCTTACTTGTTGGGTTGGAGACCTCTCAATATTTATAGGGAGACCAGTGTGTGGGGACAAGCCACCATCACAAGAATTGTGTCTGCCTGGGACCGTGGCAGGATGCAGATTCTTTATAGTTGGCTCTGAGACAAAAGAAGGCTTGTCAATTTAGCATGCTGAGGTAGTTGCCCAGTTTCTGGGCCTCTTGAATGCAATCTGCTTGGCAAATATAAGGATATCTAGGAGTCAGTGTCTGGGGGCTGCTGTCATGAATGAAGCCGACACTCAAGTCCCTCTCAAACAAAAGCCTTTGGGAGTAAATGAAAATATAATACACTGGCATGTAGTAGGATCTATCTGTATTGGATTTAGTGCAGGTGATGGAGGAGGACTCGGGCAGATATCAGGGGGTGGGACCTGCTTTGGCAAAGCACCCAGTGTGGGCAAAGGAACTTCCTGTGTACTCTCTGTCTCTCCAATAGCCCATGAAGTGGATGAAACCCAACCTCCCACTCAGGGGCCTAGGCTTAATCCCAGTCTCTTTTCCAGCTGTGTAATTGGGGTACATTATTTGACTTAATTTCCACATCTAAATAGCAGAGATAATAACACCTACCTCATTAGGGGGTTTTAGAGGTTCAAAGAAACTCTGTTAGAAAGCACACCAGTCCCACTAGCTCAGGGTTGGTGGCCCGAAAGGGTTGGCTAATACAAGGCTAGAGGAGACTTAGGGAGGTCAGCACTCTTTTAGGCTTGGCTCTGATGTCAAAGGATTCAGCTCTCCCTAGTGGTATGTACATACATACAGTTTACTCATCTGAAGAGTTGGGGGGTGGTTTATTTGCCAAGAGTGTTTGGGAAAGTGATGGGGATCCTGGTTATGGAAATCCAGTCCTGTCTGCTTCTAGCTGGACTGTTACCATCTTGTGTAGGTCACCAGCCTCAAGTTCTACCTCTACAAGGTGTCACCTGTTGACATGGTGGATCTGTAAAATTCTTCCAACACTGAAGCTCCACACTCAGGTCTGCTGTTCCAAAGCACAAATCCATTTATGTAATCTTAATAGTTCCATTCCATCTTTTCAAGTGTGACAGTTGGCTTAGGAGGTACAAGAAAAATAACTCTTAAATAATTTCAAAGCAAAACAAAGCAAGCTACACTCACTGGGTTGGGTATGTGTTCCATTTCTTGACCCATCTGCCCGCACAAGGAGCAGAAGCAAGCTTTGCCTTCTGGTTAAGTAGCATTCACAACGTCTGTACGTCTACCTGGTTTTTTGTGGGCTGTGTGCCAACAAAGTGGATAAGATCTTTCAGGAATGTTTACAATGTCACATATTTATGCAAATTGGCAACATGTTTATAGCAACAGGCACCACAACAGGTTTCTATTAGTGAGAAGCCAGGCAACCTAAACATCTTTGAGCACCCAGAATGCAAAGCTCTGGACTGCAAGAGGGGGTAATTCATTACAAGTGCAGCCCCTGGCCTGTTCCAAACTTATGGTTGCTGCCTGGTGGAGACATGGCGACTCAACTCAACCTATCTCATATATATTCTGTGCAGACAGAGGGTATAACTAGACTATTTTCTGGTCTGCTGTTAGCCACATACTGGATGGCTGCCCACCAATCAAATTCTAACCTCTGCCATATAGAATAGAGACCACCCTCTCCAGTCTGAGGCCCTGAGAGATGTCACAACACAGGATCCTATGTACAGAGAATAGGAAAGGGCCTGTAAAGTGAGATTATGTGCATGATCTGGTTTCATAGACCAGTTCCACACTTCTAGTTATGGCACTTGGGGTAAAACATTCTGCTTGGTCAGTCTCATTGTCTGGCTCTTCCATCTGTCTCACTTGATTGCTTGGTAATTAAATCTCTATGCCTGACATTAGAAGAGCATTCAATTGATGGGCATCATCACTGTATTGCTGTCCTCATCATTATCATCACCTTCATCCTTTGAAACATTTTCTAAGCTGCATTTGGGGTTGTTAATAAGTAATATCTGAAAAAGTGGCTTATGTGATCAAACTACTTATGAAAATCCTGAGTGACTGAGGAATGCAAGTATAGAATCAGCTTCGCTACCACAAGACTTCTCAGCTCTGAGGACAGCAGAGACTTGGTGCTCATTTCTCCATCTGATTTGCTCTCAGATTGTCTGTCCTTCTGTGGTTAGCCTTTCCGGGTACGAGTGAGCCAAGAAATTCTTCAGGAAACCTCCATGAAGGCCTAGAATCGGGGAATGGAATTACAAAATGAACTATATGAGCTGGGCCTAGTGTACAGGCCTATAATCCAAAGTAGTCTCTGTGAGGGGCTGGTCAGGAAGATCACGAGTTCAAGGCTACCCCTGTTTAGAGACCCTGTTTCTAAACAGAAAAAGCAAAAAGAGGATCAGGTATATAGAGCACTTGTCCGACATGTGTGAGATGCTGGGTTCAATCCCCAGCCCTGCAAAACAGACCAACCAGACAAACAAACCAACCAACCGAAAAGACAATGAGTGCTGAAGAGCAGGGCATTTGAGTCATGCACATATAAAATCATGAAGAGGACAGAGAGCAGGTGTAGACAATAATTAGCCGGGAAGTCACAGGAACACCCACCCTCCTCATGCCCCAACACTGGCAGACTATGTGACTTGCTTTTTCTATACTTAGAGCAGTGGCATTAGAAGGCAGACTACCTGAGATGCCCCAGTCACCCTCCGCAGCTTTTATCGTGAGTAAGAAGGTTGATTCACATTTGTCCTTACAAAGCATTCAGACTTCACTTAGCCTGAGGTACTTAAATAATTAAGATCATTTTGAGCTTTATTTTAGGCTTCAGGTATCACTGTTTTCATTTGGATTCTCTTTCCAACTTTTACATTTAGAGCATTGGAAAAAAAAAAACTGCCCTGTGGAGAATCATAATTGGACCCTTACCAAAATATATTTTAAATGAAGTTTAGACTTAGCTGAACTGAATACTCATTTCCGGTTTCTCCTTCCCTTGAACTCCATCCCTATCCTTAAGGCTCAGTGGCTTGGAGGGGAGGGTTCAGTCCTCCCCTTAGGCTCTTGTCATGCCCTATGACCATACCATGTAAATGAGATCTGCCTGCTCCCACCATCCTCTGAGATGAGGAAAAATCCCATGGACCTGTAAGCAATGCAAGGAATGGCATGCTACACGGCATAGTTGAGCTTGGAGGAAGACTATTTGCAGGAATAATACAAAGTACCTTGGGCAGGATTGGAACTGGTGGTGGCTCCTAGCTCCTCACTTCTTCATCCATGATGGGGCTTCAGGGAGAGCATCCATGGGGCATTATCCTGGAGTTCTGCTGCTTCTGTTTGCCTTGTAGGGTTGTTTTCCCTCTCTCTCTCCTATGTTTACACTGCACTAGGGACGTCTTCTAGCCAAGGGGAGTCATGCAAAAGTAGTAAACACTCAGGCCAGGTGGCTGTGAGCCACTAGGGACAAAGTGGGAGTTTGCCTGTCTCCCCACGCCCATCAAAGGCACCTGGGATGGCATGCAGAAAAAGCCTTTTGCGATTATCATCTTTGAAGTCTGACTTTTGGTCTTCCATTTTGTTTTACTGGAAGAACAAATCCAAAATCAACCAAGGCCTAGCATTGAAGTCCCACAAGAAGGGACTCCTTTCCTAACCCAGTGAGAAGTCATTGAATTGTCTCCATATACATAGCACTGGGTGTGACATTCCTGGAAGAAGCTGAGGAAGGCAGGAGGACCCAGCAGGCCAGCTGGAGGGGCAATAGCCTCAACCCACACAAAACAGAAAAGGCTTATATTCTAGGAAGGCTGTGGTGGACTGTTATGATAAATCTTTCTGCCAAAAGCCGCCGAGCCCCACTGCCACATGTGTGCTTTATGCCAGCTGCCCGCCCGAGTTAGGTCCAAATGAATACACAGAAGCTTGTATTAGGTTCAAAGCTGCTTAGCCAATGACTAGGATTCTCATCTGTTAGCTCAGTCTTAATTATCATAAATCTATATATTTTATAAGACTTATCTTATCAGACGCCTTATTGGCATCCCTCCTTGCCAGTGGATCACATTGTGCTGCTGGAGGAGCAAGGGAAAAAAGGACCCTTTCTGTTTCTCCTTCACTTAAATATGAGTCTCCTTGCTATGCCACTTCCTGCCACTTCTCTACTACATTTCCCAGAATCCTCTTTGACTCCTAGTTCTGTCTAACTTGCTGTCTCATTGGCCAAACAGTATTTCATTTAACAATCAATAAGATAAACATACACAGTATATTCCCCATCATCTCCTCTTTTCTGTCTAAATAAAAGAAGGATAACTTATCTTTTATAATAACTGAAGAAAACTATAACCATAACTATCTGTCTTCAATTCTATCAAAGACCACAGAAGAATAATATATAAACTCTAGAATTGACAGAGACTTCTTGCTACCTGGACAGTCACCCAATGTTCCTCTGTAACGTTGGGGCATCCATCTTTAACCTATAGGCCATAGTGTGTCTAGCACACTTCTCCATTTTAACAGGAACCCTTTAGTACTGTCTTGTTTTGTAAGTTTATTAGTCATTTTCTTGTGGGTCCTGTATGTCCAGTTTATACAGCAACAAACAGTCCAGGCAAGAGCAGTTTCTTGCTCAAATGGTTAATCTTGTCATGCTGAAAGCAAACTGCATAACAAGTTTCTTCAATGCCCATCCTCCTTTCTGACATAATTGGTGTGCCAGGAGTAGCTGTGTCTCACTGCCAAGAAAAACCCTAAACCATTTAAATGTCATATTTCTGTAGGTCTTTGAAAGGTTTGAAGAATACCTATCTGTCTCAAATATATCTCTATATATCTAGAAAACCTAACTAACCTAATTATAAGTTCTGACCATTGTAGGTAAAAGATCTGTATAAACACAATACCTAAACAAGAGGAGACATATACATATCACAAAATTGACCTTAAAGTTGTATCAATAAATGAAAATCTATACCAATGCAAAGTATTTATTCCTATATCCTATTCCCCTTTTTTTTCTTTAAAAGGAGATTGACTCTGCTCATTATCATTTATAACTAACCCCATTTAAATGAAAACAAACATTTATAAACAGTATTTGGGAATTTGGGCGTCGTTCTTTCTAAACTGCTTCTTGCTGATTGGGGAAGATGTTTATATACCATAGGGATCATGATAAAACATAGAAACCTGACCAAGTCCTTGTTTTTGTAGTCTGTAAGGGTGTATTGTCTCAGCTTTAGGGGGTCTTGCTTGATCAAACCATATTAGTCTGGAAGGAATCAACAGCTTTTGATTTTCTGTGGAAATACAAGTAAAACCTTTATTTCTAAGTAGCCTGTCCTTAGACTTAAATTTTGAAGTCAAAGCATTTTTAAAATGTATAAGTTGGATTAATTTAGCAGCATTTATAATCAAATGTATTTTAGCAGTAGTATTTCTTCCCTCGGCAATCAAACAATTTAAAGACAACAATATGGCATATAGTATCCAGATTCTCTGTGTATTTTCCATCTTTATGTGGCTTTTTTACTATTTTACTTTTTTTTCCTTTTGTATCTTTTTTCCCCGAGACAGGGTTTCTCTGTGGAAATCTGCCTGCCTCTGCTTCCTTTAGCAAATCCTACCGGCGTTGGCCACCATAACTGGCTACTCTATTTCCTACTGTTACTTTTTCTCTCACAAGCCTACATATATTTTTAAATGTAGTGTAAACCTTTAGAGGTTTTTCTTCATCTGGATCTGTCTTTACTGTAAATCTTTACCTTTTTCTGGCCACCAGTCTTTTAACTGTTAAACAGCACCGCCAAAATTAAAGTGTCAGCTTTCTTAGCCGCTGTCTTCTTTTTTTTCCGATTTTGCTGAGTCAGGAAATCTCTCTTAAATCAACCACTCAAGTCTCTGCTTGTCTCTAGCAAAACAGAGATCACCCAAGAAAACACTGGTATCATGAAGTTGTGCTTGTCTCTGATCTTTTGCTGCTAAAATCCTTTTTTAAGCTTTTGTAAAGTTTGCATGAAAGTTTGTAACACTACCTCCAGCTGCCCAGGTTCTGCTACTGTTTGACTAGTCTCCGGGAGGCAGGAAGGCAGCTTTCTGTGGTGAGAGCTCAGAATCCTAACCCTAGGACCCTCAAGGGCTGCAGGCCGTCTCGGGAGTGCCAGAGTCCAAACCCCAAGAGTGCCGGGAAGATTCGAGCATATGGGAGCTGCTCTGATGCCTCTCAGTGGCCCAACAGGGCAGGCTGTGGTGGCAGGTTTCCCTCTTTTTCTGGGAACTTTGGGGCATTGGGTCATTCCGCTCATTGACACCATTCTGTTACTATAAATCTTTCCGCCAAAAGCCACCGAGCCCCACTGCCACATGTACGCTTTATGCCAGCCGCCCACCCAAGTTAGGTCCAAATGAATACACAGAAACTTGTATTAGGTTCACAGCTGCTTGCTCAATGACTAGGATTCTCATCTGTTAGCTCAGTCTTAACTATCATAAATCTATATATTTTATAAGACTTATCTTATCGGATGCCTTATTGGCATCCCTCCTTGCCGGTGGATCATATCGTGCTGCTGGAGGAGGAGAACGGGAAAAAAGGACTCTTCCTGTTTCTCCTTCGCTTAAATATGAGTCTCCTTGCTATGTCACTTCCTGCCTGGATCACCACTTCTCTACTACATTTCCCAGAATCCTCTTTGACTCCTAGTCCCGTCTAACTTGCTGTCTCATTGGCCAAACAGTATTTTATTTAACAATCAATAAGATAAACATACACAGTACATTCCTCATCAGTGAACATCTGATGTTTCTTGTCAGCTCTTTGGAGAAGCTGCCCCTCCACAGTGCAGAAATCCTAATGGGATGGACCATCATATTCTTTAGTTAGCTCTTTTCTGTGACCAACTCAGTTATCCAGCCTTCACGCTTTTGTTTTCAGTAGGGGCTATTTCTATGCTTGAGGAAAAATACACTGCCACTTTAGTGATTTAAGCAAAGAGCTCAGGCCTTGGAGCTGGAAGTCCTGATTCTTTATTAAACTCTTTGCCCCACCGCATGCCAACAGTGTGACTTCACCTAGGACAAACCATTGTTCCAGACTAATCAACACAGTGTGGGATAATAATTCAGAGCATCTTCTTCTTCAAAATGCCAGGAGATAATGTATCAGAGAGCACCTGGTGCCAGTATAGACAGACTGTGGACACTACTGTTAGCGATAAATGTATATGAGGTGGGAAAGCAGGGAGTAGATATTAGTACCCTCAGAAATCATATGCGCTAGAGAAGAGTCTTAAAGGAGGGGGGCACAAACAGGAGGCCTGGGTGCAGTAGCTGAAGTGACCACTGGGAACACATGGGAGTTCTTCAGCACACCAGAAAGGCCCTATTGGCTAGATTCCAGTGAAAAGGAGGAAGGACCACTCACCAAAGAACTCACAAAATTGTTGGGTTCGGACTGCAAGTCCTGCTCCTGACTCTTCAGAGACAGACCTGATGGTACCTCACACTGAAGCTCAGGGGATAACATTGTTGAGGGCTGGTGTGCTGAACCAGTTTGAGACATCAAGAAAGGGGCTGTGGTGAGACAATCTAAGCTAAACAGAAAATAAAATGCCAGGCATAGAGGAGTGGGAGACAATGGAATGGCCAATCTAATTTGGAAATTTGCTGGTGAGGGGCAGTGTCGGGACAGGAAAAAAAAATGTGACATTTGTTTGTTTGTTTGTCTTTGTCTATCTTAGCTTTCTGTTGCTACGATACAACACCATAGCTCAAAGCGACTTGGGGAAGAAAGGGTGTTTCACTTATAATTGTATATCACGGTTCATCATTGAAGGAAGTCAGGGTAGGAACTCAAGGCAGGAACCTGGAGGCAGGAACTTAAGCAGAAGCCTTGTAGGAGTGCTGTTTACTGACTTGCTCCTGCTGGCTTGCTCAGTTTGCTTTCTTATACTATCCCAGGGCCACCTGACCAGGAGTGGTACCATTTACAATGGGCTGGGCCCTCTCTTATCAGTCACTAAGAAAATGCCCCCACAGGCTTGCCAACAGTTCAGTCTAGAGGAAACATTTTCTCAATTGAGGTTCCATCTTCCCAAATGACTCTAGCTTATAACAGGTCGACATAAGAACTAACCAGAACATCAACTTGACACATAAGCACACTACTATTAAACCATAACCTTTCCTTTCTGGTTCACCCCCAATATCTCGTATTAATATCAATATCATAATATAAGATATTCAACTTTCAAAAGTCTTCTTAAAATTCAAACTACTTAAAAGTTCATTCTTTTAAAATACTGTAAGTTTTTCTATTCAAAAACTCAAAGTCTCTCAACTGTGGGCACCTGTAAAATAAAAGGTAAGTTGCATACTTCCTTTCTTTAAAAGAGAAGAACCAGGGCATAGTCACAGTCAAATAAAAGCAAAACCCACATCCAACAGCCCAAAGCTCAGTGTCAGATTTCCAGAACTATCAATCTTCTAGGGCTTGCCACAGTACACCCAGCTTGTCTTCTAGGCTCAGGTCAGCACTGCTCCACATGGGTTTCGGTCCTTGGCAATCATCCCAAGGGCTAGCATATCCAAAATGATGAGATGTACACTAATGTACTTTCACCAGCAGCCTCCTCTGATTTCTGTGGGGGACTCTAATCCTGTCACATGGTGCCAAACCTTCTATGGTCCCCTCAATCCTGGAACCTCTGCACGTTCATAAACAGCTTTTCCCAGCCTTTCACAGCGCCAACCCTCAACTGCTCTTTATGTCCCCTTCATGCCTTCAAAACCAGTACCACCTGGGAGTCTCTAATATATACCAAGTTTCACTGCCAGCAGAAGAGGTGGCCTTGGCCCCCTCTGATCTACATGTCTATGTGCTGATCCTGAGGAAACACTTCCCAGAAAT